TAGCCATTTCCAGCTGGTCCAGGTGGTCCTGGTGGTCCTGGTGGTCCTGGAGGTCCTGGTTGTCCGGGTTCGCCACCAGCACATGGTGGGCATGGTGGAGGTACGACCGGCTCACAAGGTCTCGCTGGCGGACGTCCGGGTGCTCCTGGCATTCCAGGTGCTCCTGGCATTCCGGGACGGCCCGGTCTTCCAGGTGCACCAGGTGGTCCTTGAGGTCCCGGAATACAGCAGTCATCGCATGACCCAGCTTGTCGAGTAGTTCGGTTGGAGGCGGGGATGTTCTTGATCACATTCACCTCAGACCAGATACTTTTCGCAGAGCCCTGAAAAAGTGAAATTTTGCGGAAAATTCAAAAGTAAGGAATTCAGAAGCTTACCTTACAATAGTGGATTTCTGTCTTTAGTGACCTTTTCACGTGGTGAATGTAGTTGTAAACCATCGGCAAAGTGATACAGATGGATACAACAGCAATCACCGAGAAGGTGACGGCCGAGTAGGCGACGAAACGATACGCCGCTAGACGGTGACTGTCATCCCCCATGATGTTGTAAGGTGATGTTGTCGTCTCCTCAATCGCTCTCACTGGCTTTTATACCACTTTGATTTCAATCTCTACCACGGAAAAGGCGTTTTTCACATATGTTACAGTGTGTTAACGAAATTTCTCAATTAAAAACGCTTGGTCACGCCGTCTTGAAGACATTACCTCTATAGTTTTATTTTCAATAAGACAACGGTTCCAATGGTGTCGAACAGTAAAACGATCAATCATTTTTATAATGACAAACGTTTAACGGTTGCTGTATGCGCCCGGCTGCAAAGTTCTCTTCCCATTGCAACCTTTTTGTAGCAAATTGTGCTTAACTACTCTTTAGAGTGCAAGGAGTATATAAAGCAGGGGTATAGGCGCTCATTGATACCGGTCTATCTAAAGTGGGTAAAAGTGCGTAATAGCATCTCTTTTGGACTATGCTACTATTAACGTATTGTAAGCATAAACATTCAATCAATTCCATGCAAATGTTCTAAGAAGACGTTTATGCTGCCAACTAGGAAAATCCTAGAAAAATGCAAAATAAGCGAGTGCGTGATGTACAGTCATTACCCTCTTATTCCTCGTGGAACTAGCGCTAATGGAATAAATCTAAAAACTCTCTTCTCGTTAAAATGAGCTTTGGAAAAAGAATTGAGTGGAACAAGAAAGAACTAAGAAGAAAATGATACATGACCATTGTGCCTGGCCG